GTCAAGGATTTCCCATACTGTGGTGTGGTGACTAAGGCACAGTACTAGAAGCAAGGAGATCTAGATTCTTGTCCACCCACAACTCCTGAAGTTCATTTGATAGTGTGAAGACCCAGGGCGTGATACAAAGGCAACACAGTCACATAAGTAAGAAAAGTCCCTTTAATACTTTGCCCCCAATGTCCAGTTACCTTCGGCTGGAGAAAAAACTCTCCCAAGAACAGTCTTTAAGTGGAGGAAATTCAGTCTGAAAACAAAGTACATATAAACTGTAAATAAAAATCCACACAAACCACGCTGCAGCAATTAACTGGACAGGGCAGGATAAAGAATTGCAGACTTCAAAGGCCAACAAAACACACACAGTTGGGAAGACGCCAGGAACTCAGATAAGCCTCAACAAAACAAGATAATACACAATTTGTTTCCAACAAGTTGCTGTGCTCAAACTCCCTTTTTAAACACTGTGGTCTCAGCTGCAGCTACTGAAGGGAATCAGAACCTTTTCCTCCCCCGTAAGCCATGCAACTCTCTGTTCCTCCCTGTGTGCCCTAGGATGAAGAGGGGGTGGGCCTAGATCTTCCTCTGAATTCCCTCTGCCTTGCTTTACCTCTCCCCTGCTCTGCCCAGCCAGACTTTGCCCTTCCCCAGTTTCTTCCACAGCCACCGGAGCCATACGCCAACTCCCTGTCAGCTGCTCGGCCTCCCCCTCGGAATCAGATTCTGACAGGGGCATGACAGATAGTGTTGGATCAGCTAGTGTCTCTCACAGAATTGCTATTATGGGGGAACCTACCTCATAGTGTTGTTTTGTGGAGAAACTCAAGAAGGAGACACTGCATTAAACTCTTGAACGAAAGGCGGGACAGAAATCTAACAAATGTATAAATTATTAAGTTAATGTGATGTTCAAGCAATAGTAGCTTGAATCTTGCATCCCAGCCAGTTTTAGCCTTTGTGGACATAAGTGCCTGATTAGGATAGAAAGCAGGAAAGATGGAGCTGTCCCAAAACATATTAGAAAGACATATAATGTTTTTTATTCTGTGACACTATTGAATGGATTTTTTTTTTCTTTGTAAAGATATACTTACCCATCAAAGGTCTTAAAAGTCACATTCTTTCCTCTATAGCAGAATGAGGATAGGGAGAATTCATGGATAGGTTTCCAATACCCCAAACATCTGTGCCAAATCGTAGTTCTGAAAGTGCAGAGATTGCTATATCTTCAAATTTGGGTATGGTTCATTTATGCCTATTTACCAAGACATGTGTATTCTTCTCTCCAGTGACCTTTTGCAATCATGATACTTAACATTTATATGGTGTATCTTATTAGCAGGCTGTTCCACAAACATCACCTAATTAAGTATTGTGGCAGCTCAGAGCAATGTATAATTAAATGTTATTAAACCCATTTTATAGGTGAAGAAGCATCAACTAAATAGGCTGTTCTGTGTATTTTAGCAATAACACTAAAGACCACTTTTTCCAAACAGGTTTTCTTTTTTTAAAAGAAAAAAAGAATAGAACAAAATTCTATTCCTGAATTATATGAGTTCAGGCTGCAGACAGGATAAATGGATGTTTGAAACTATCATATTATGGAAACTATACTAAGACTCATCTCTCCTAACAGCTAATTTACCTTTGTGGAGAGTTTTTCTTTTCCAATTTGAAATGAAATTTCCCTGTTAGAGCTGCACAATCGAGGGAACAGTTTTACCTCAGCGGTACCAATCTTTGTGAATTAGGCTTAACAAAACCTTCGTTATTCATATATAATACGTAGATGTCATTCAGCACTACTATTCTGCTGCTGATTTACAATGGAAAATAATATAATATAATAAAGAAGCACTTTGGCTGATATAAACAACGAAGTGGATTTTTTTGTTAGCTTCATATGTCTGAATCTGTTATTCTAGATTGGAAATCGTAGTTTATAATTTAGCAGGCTCCAGAAAGCCAG